GGTGGGGGGTGGGAAGAAGTCTGTATATCCGAATGCCACGGAGAATACCACTTGATTTCTTTTCCTTTCTCTCTCTCCCGCCACGAAGCCTTAGTGGGTATCCACCTTTCTCCGAGCATAAGACTCAAGTGTCACTGAAGGACCAGATCACCAGTGGAAAATACAACTTCATTCCTGAGGTCTGGGCAGAGGTCTCCGAGGAGGGTATGGACACGAAAGGGTGAAGAATTCATGGTTTGCTTAAATGTGTGTGTGCGCGCTGTGGCGGGAGAATTTCTTTTCGAATTCCATTATGTTTGTCTCCTGTCGGTTCTGTTCTTACTTCCTGTTGTTTTGCACCGTTTGAGAGGCAGCGGAAGTTGTTCCAAAGCCAGGCGGATGGAGATTCAAGTCTTGGGTCTGCTCCTCCCAGCTGTGGGACCTTAGGCACGTTGCTTCAGCTCTCTGAGTCTCCATTTTCGTTATTTGTAAAGGGGACACAATAAACCCCTACCTTAAAGGGTTTTTATAAGGGTTAAGTGTAATATACACAAGTGCCCGGTACCGATTTAAGTGTGCAAAATCACAAGTAACTTTTTTTTAAAGTATATTTTATTGATTTTTTACAGAGAGGAAGGGAGAGGGGTAGAGAGCTAGAAACATCGATCAGCTGCCTCCTGCACACCCCTTACTGGGGATGAGCCTGCAGTACATGCCCTTGACCGGAATCGAACCCAGGACCCTTCAGTCTGCAGGCCGAGACGCTCTAGCCACTGAGCCAAACCAGTTAGGGCACAAGTAACTTTTTAGTTACAAGGTTTCCTTTGAGTAAATAAGCCTGTAAGAGTGAGTGTCACTAGTTACTTTGTGTTTAAGAACTTCCAAGGGCAACTTTGTAATTCTCAAAAGAAAACAGTAGCCAAGTAAAACTACATGACAGATAACTGTAACATAGTTGACTGTGTTAAATGTCAGTGTCTAAGGCAGTGGTTCTCAACCTTCCTAAGGCCGCGACCCTTTAATACAGTTCCTCCTGTTGTGGTGACCCCCAACCCTAAAATTATTTTCGTTGCTACTTCATCACTGTCATGTTGCTACTGTTATGAATCGTCATGTAAATATCTGATAGGCAGGATGTATTTTCATTGTTACAAATTGAACATAATGAAGGCATAGTGATTAATCTCGAAAACAGTATGTAATTATAGATGTGTTTTCTGATGGTCTTAGGCGACCCCTGTGAAAGGGTCGTTCAACCCCCAAAAGGGGTCGCGACCCACAGGTTGAGATCCGCTGGCCTAAGGAATGATATTGTTGCAGTCCACAAGCCGGCCTCCGCTTGTTGCTGGCCATCAAGGTTTCTGTCTGCCAAGCCTGCATTTCCAGAAGCCTGAGAAACTCTCACCATCCATCTGTGGGTCTCGGGGAGCGTGGGCTTGCATCCTGAGTGTCCCTTAGAACTGGGAGTGAGTTCAGCTTTAATTCGTTTGAACTTGAATCCAGCAATGAGAGAAGGAACAGATTTCCTAAGACACCATATAAACTGTTAGGGCAATCTGATGTTTCCTGCTGTTCTCAGAGCACGCTGATGAATACAGAGTGTGAGGAGGATTAGGGGGCCCTGCCTACCATACCTGCCGACTCCTCCGTGACCTCAGCCCCTCTCTCTCCTTCCTGGATGTCGGCCAGCGATTCTAGCATGCTGTTAATTTTGCTGATTCGATGCATTTGCCTGTCTCACCGTGGCTTATTGCTTTTTAGCGCTGGACCTCATCAAGAAGTTGTTGGTAGTGGATCCAAAGGCGCGTCTTACGACAGAAGAAGCTTTAAAACACCCGTGGCTTCAGGTGGGTCTGGGCGCTGCCTCGTAGCATGAAATACGTGGGCAGCCCTGAGCTGTGTCTGAGAGGTGAGGAAGAGGATGCAAACACAGCACTTGTGTTTTGCGTCTGTTTCCTGCAGCTGTTGTGGATTAAGCTTTAGGTGTGTGGGGTATGCCTACATGTGGGTGTGTCTCTGTGCGGTGTCTGTGTGCAGTCTTTTCAAACTCGATTCGTGGCTCTTGGATGGACAAGCTCACTTGATGGCCGGTCTTGGTCCCACTCGGCTTCCCTGGGTCCGCGGTTTGGCCGTGTGCCTTTGAGAAGTTGCTCTAACGCGCGGAATCTCATCCCCAGCTGTGCTCCCCTCTTCCCTCAAAGCCTCTCCCCCAAACAGGTGGGGTGGGCTGCATTCCAGCCTCTTCCACTTTAAATCAAGGAAGCAGGTGTTGGAGGGGAAGGGCAGCCTCCCTGGGGGGGGTGGGGGGGAGAGAATCTAACTATTTCTTAAGCCCAAGTGGCTGGATAGAAAGGACCCCACTTGTTCATGGAGGGTAAGCACGCCTTCAGTGCAGGCTGTCACCTGCGCCTTCCAAGCGTGCATCACCTCTGCATCCCTGCTGGGAGTTCAGCTGCCGTGAGGTTCTGCGCTGAGCTCATGGCAGCTGCAGGGGCTGGAAGTCCTTTGTGGCTCCGCTGGGGTAACCTTTGGTTTAGGAATTAGCTACAGCATCGGGCAGGTTTCCTGACGGATGTCAGGTCTCCTGTTCCGTGCGGTTCCTTTCAGCACAGCCGTACCCCTTTCTAGGAACTTCCGTTGGGTCGCCCTGATCCCTGTGGGGTGGACAACTTAACCATCCATCTCAGCAGTGTGCCTCTGGGATTCTGGGAAGACTGTCCCCCATCTTTTGCTCTTCCAACCCGCCACGCCTAACAACAGGTTGGCTTCGGTCAGCACAGGTTGAGAGCAACACATCCTTAAAAGAAAATTGTTAAAAAGTAGGTATATGTGTTTGGGATGTTGACCTAGAAAGAGCAGTCCCCCCAGAAAGAAAATTGTCAGATGATTTAGCACTTACTAGACCACACAGATTTGACACCGCGGGGTGGCCCTGGAGAAAGGGAGTTTGGGAACCAAGGGTGCCTTTGCATGTGGGGATTTAATTCTGATGAGAAAGAAAAAGCATGCCTCTGGGATCTTTCCGTGTGCCCTCATAGGGAGACTCTTGGGGAGCTAGATGTGGAAGTAGAGGAGCTGTGTTAAGTCTTGGAAAAAAAAACAAAAACGGAGCTGCCTAGTTAGGCAGCTTGCATCTCCCCGGGATTTAGGAACAAGAACAGCCTATATTTCTTGTACTTTTTCACCTTGAAAGAAAACGGTTATTAACAGCTGAGGTAAAGGTGAAGTTCAACCTGACCTCAGGGGTCTCACTTGAACACTCTTTTGTCTGCACTTTGTTTTGGCAGCAAAAGGTGGAGTGAACATGGAATGAGGACAAGGATGCAGAGGGCCCGCGGACATCGCCTGCTAGTGATAGTTTAGCTCAGTGGTTCTCAACCTTGGCTGCACATTAGAATCACCTGGGAATCTTTTTTAAAATCCTGATTTCTGGGCCTCATCCTCCGGAAATTCTGTTTCTTTGTTATGGGGTGACAAATAGTAGCAAAGAAACAGAATTTCCGGAGGATGAGGCCCAGAAACCAGGATTTTAAAAAAGATTCCCAGGTGATTCTAATGTGCAGCCAAGGTTGAGAACCACTGGTTGAGGTTTTCTTTTGGGGAAATGCAGGGTCCTTGAAGAAGCCAGGTGGTCTGGTGGGTCTGGCCCCGGACTGGGCCCTGGGAATAGGAGTTCTGGTCTGTTTTGTCATCAGCGGAGGAGCCAGTTTGGGGAGCATCCCTTAGATCCACCTCTTGCCTCCCTTCCTGAAATAGAGGGGTCCCTCCTGCTTGCCCCTGAGGCACATTGCAGTTAGTATTTCTGAACAGATGTGGACATTTCAAAGAAAGGGCATTTACGGATACACGTTACTGCCTGTGATATGTTAAGGTAAAGAGCTCTTTTACATATTATTGCTAATTGATCACTTGTTTTAAATAACAGGCCTAAGTAGGCTTGAGGTCAGCTCTGTTTGGCTGCACTGAAGAGCTGCCATCTGAGGAACATTCTAGTGTGGTTTCATTTCTTCATGCATTTACTTTTTTTTTTAAAAAAAATTATTGATTTCAGAGAGGAAGGTAGGGCGGGAGATAGAAACATCAGTGATGAGAGAGAATCATCGATCAGCTGCCTCCCGCATGCCTCACACTGGGGACTGAGTCCGAAACCCGGGCATGTGCCCTGACCGGGAATCGAACTGTGATCTCCTGGTTCATAGGTTGACCCTCTATCCACTGAGCCACACCAGCTAGGGTTTTCCTTTCCCATTAGACCCAAGCCCTGGATACCGTGGGCTTGAAGTCCTTCTGGCGAGTTGTACAGCACTTACTGGGTGAATTTCCCCAGGGTGCTGGGTGGGTTTGTTAGGGTGGCCCCAGGAACTGGCCGCATGTTGGTAGGGAGAGGGGGGGGCGACCTCCCGGAAAGACTTAGCAGCTGCATGGAGTCAGCCCCAGCCTCTGGCCTGCCGATTGCCATCTCAGTCAGGATCTGGGATGCTGGTTCTGAAAGTCTTTCGACTCCTTAGGTCTGTGGTTCTCTCTGACCCGCCAAGAGCTCTGACGCATGTGGTTTTGATTCAGCCAGTGTCGACTGAGCGCTGCCTGCTGATTAGACTACTCGGGGGGGTGGAGGGTCGCGTGGTCCTCGCCCTCCCAGAGCTGCAGCCAGGGCAAGCCACGCACCTGATAGACCCGATGTCTGTGCCCATGTCTCTGTTTCCGGGGGCTTCCTGGCCCCATCCTCCTCGGAGCGTTCCCTCAAACATAGGTGACTCATGTTTTTCATTTCTTTACAGGATGAGGACATGAAGAGAAAATTTCAAAATTTGCTTTTTGAAGAAAATAAGTCAACGGCTCTACCCCAGCTCCCAGCCCAGGTATTCCGGATGATGGTCGTTAAATGCGGGCCAAGTTTAAAGAGCCAGTGAGCAAGGATGAGGAGTTTGAATAGTCTAATAAAAACTGCTACACACACACACACACACACACACACACACACACACGAATGATGTAGGAGATACTTTGTTTCAGCTTGATCTGCTCTAGCACCCTTAGAAGATTTCATAATGAACAGTATGCTTAATGCATTAGAGAAGCACAGCTAGGGATTGTCATTCAAGAAGTCTCCTGCAAGGCAAGATTAAAAGACTGTTGGAGGCTCCAGTAGAAATTTGTTGAAAATTTGTTTAAAATGTGGGCGAGTGACTGGTGATTTATTGGTTATAATTTTATTCCTCCATTGTTTTTTTTTTTTTAAATATATTTTATTGATTTTTTACAGAGCGGAAGGGAGAGAGATAGTGAGAAACATCGATGAGAGAGAAACATCGATCAGCTGCCTCCTGCACATCTCCTACTGGGGATGTGCCCGCAACCCAGGTACACGCCCTTGACCGGAAGCGAACCTGGGACCCTTCAGTCCGTAGGCTGACGCTCTATCCACTGAGCCAAACCGGTTTCCATTGTTCTTTGTTAAGTACAAGTTAATATCTGTTCATTCCTGTCCCACCTTCTTTTGGTGACGGATAGCACTGCTCTTCCCACTCTCCCCTTGCAATTTTATAAACTGGAAAACAAAGACACAAGAAAAGACGTGTCTTTCCACAAAAGAGCACGGTTTGGAGCTCCCAGTGAAAGGTATCGTCATCTCTCTAAATTTCAGGATTTAGGAAAAGATGACCCAAGAGGAGACTGTGGGTGCTGCTTACTGGCAGTATATATCATTGAGCCCAGCCAATGTGGCTCAGTGGTTGAGCGTCCACCCATGTACCAGGAAGCCACAGTTTGATTCCTGGTCAGGGCACGTGCCGGGGTTGTGGGCTCCATCCCCAGTAGAGGGCGTGCAGGAGCAGCCGATCGATGATTCTTTCTCATCATTGATGTTTCTATCTCCCCCCTTCCCTTCCTCTCTGAAATCAATAAAAATATATTTATAAAAAATATATAAAAATCATTGAAGGATCAGAAAGTCACGGGGAGAGAAATGTCATTTTGATGAGGATGCCTGAGTCCGGTGGAATGTGATGGGGATTCAGATGTCAGGGAGGAAAACCAGTAATGGTTGGGGCTAGAAGTTTCACATGAAAGTCTCCAGATTTACTGGGAGCATATTGGGAAACTTAGATCATCTTGAAGAAGCCAGTGGTCTTCTTTGAACATTTCTCCCTTTTCCTCCCCCCACCCCCAGCCTTCTACGAGTCGAAAGCGGCTCCTCGAAGGGGAGCCGGAGGATGCTGGCACCGCAAAGCGCCTGGCTGTCTGTGCTGCTGTGTCCTGAACACTGGTTGAATGTGAAAGACATGTACCGTCTTGAACCCTGCTGCTCTTTTCTTTATGTATATGTATATATATATATATTTTAGATTTTATGTTTTAATTATGGGAACAGCTGCTTTTCCAGAGTCATCAGTACACGATCAAAAGCCTAATGGAGCCTGGGCTGTGTGCTTCGGCTTGATGATCATCAGCTCTTTCGTTGCAGGCCTTTTTGTGTGTGGATTTGAAATCATGTGCTTTTTATCAGGAACTCTCTACCCTGGCTGTCACCAGCCTGGTGTCTCAGGAAATGTCCTTGGTCTCAGCCACGGTGAGATGCATGCAGATTCTAAAGGCTCTTTAGAAAGTTGCAGGGAAAGGCGCATTGCGAGGTCGGGGTGGAGTGTGTAGGGAGTGACTGGCTGCCACAGTCCTCCTGAGACAGTAAGTAGGTAGCTTGGTGCAAATACCACGGGCCTATTTTGTTTTTTTTCCATGGGCCTATTTTAAATTCTCATCCTCACCCCCATAAAGATGCAGGTCCACCGTTATGCTCAGGGAAATAAGCCAAATAGTATATGATTCCACTTAGATGAGGTACCTAGAGTAGTCAAACTCACAGAGACAGGAATTAGAATAGTGGTTGCCAGGAGCTGGGGGAAGGGCAGTGAGGAGGAGGGGGGAGTTATTGTTTCATGGATTTCTATTTTGCAAGATGAAAAGAGTTCTGGAGATGGATGGTGGTGATGGTTGTACAACAACGTGAATACTTCCTCCCACTCAGCTGTATACTTAAAAAATGGTTAAGATGTTGAATGTTATGTGTATTTTACCACAATAATAATAATAAAAAAAAAGGCCCTGGTTGGTGTGTTCAGTGTTTAAGCGTCAGAGGCAACCAGTTGATGTGTCTCTCTCACATCAGTGTTTCTGTCTTCCCCTCCTTTCCCCCTCCCTCCCACTCTCAGGAAAGCAAAGGGAAAAACAGCCTCACGTGAGGATTAACAAAAAATAAAAATAGAGGGCACAGTCCCTGAAACCTTGGGGCCAGATAATGTGTAAAAATTCAGTATTTTCCTGATTTTAGGAAGGGGACATGGCACATCAACTCTCTCATGTGTAATACCCAGCAGGGTCCTGTAACCGAGCGTTAACATTTCTGCAGCAGACACGCACAGTAAAGGGGATAGGGAAGACTAAGGCATAAGCAGCTCATTCTTTTCTGTCTAGAAATGCAGATAAGGCACGTGAGTGTGTCCTGTTGACCCAGCAATGACCAAAGAGGCCCTATGTAAGGCGACTTGTCCAACTCTTACTTTTTGGGGGGGTCACCCTACCCCATGAAATCATGGGGGGCGAGGGGGTGAGGGAGATGGTAAAGCTACCTGTCTGCCTGCCTGACCCCCACTGGGAACGCTTTTCCCACTGGCCACCCAGCTAGAGGTGATCAAGGACTTGGAAAACCGAGCAAATGGAAATGAAGCAAATACATGACAACACTGGTGGGAGGAGCAATATTGTGCTAATCTGAGCTTTCTGCCTTTCCTGACTTTGGCTTTAGGCAAGTTACTTCAAAATGGGTGCAACGAGAGGACCAACCTCAAGAGTCTCAACCCCGAGACTCTGGAGGGAACTTTTGGGGGGTCAACTCCTGCTTTCCTGGTCAGATAGGAGGTAGAAGCTGCAGGGGATGCCATGGGAAGAGAACTGAGAATGAAGCCATCAGAGAGGGAAGCGGAGCTGAGATGGGAGAAAGACAGGGTCCCCAGGCTGTAACAGGTGGAGGCAATGCTTGAACCCACAGGTGGAGGCAATACTTGAAGCGAGATTTCCCCTCTCAAGAGCCCGTGGTTTTTACCCAGTAAACAAACCTCCAGGAGAGGTCTGGACGTCTGATTAGCACTTGGTCCGCCTTAGGCCCGGTGTTGGCACTTTATCTCGATGATTGCTTGCGTCCTCCCATCATGCCTTCGTTGTCGGGCCTTATTAAGGAGAAACAGAGCCGGGTACCCGGCCTTAATCACGCAAAGGGTTAGTGGAGATGCGGGGCTGTCACTCGGGGTCCCAGGGAGCCTGGCTCTCCCAGAATCCAGGGCTTGCTCGCGCACGTGCTTGTCCACTTCCACGCCGGGGATGTCATCCTGACCTAGAGGCCTCCTTCGCCCGGCACTTCGAGGGGGTAAGTCCCTCCTGGTCCGGAGCCTCGCCCCACGCCCTGTGCAGCGGGTGAAGCAGAAGGAGCCGCGCGGGGAAGGAGCCAGGAATCGGGCCTGGGGTGGTCGGCTGCGCG